TTCCCTTTATTTTTGTTTCATTGTTAAAGACAATTCTTGCCTTGACAGTGGCTTTCGTGATGTATCAGACCTATGCTTTAAGAACTGAGATGCCTTTACCTGCTAGCATTTATGATCTTGGCTGCTGGTACCTACAAAATAAGTCAGCGGTTTCAGAGTTCTTGACTCACGGTGCAGAAGAGCGCAGAACTGTGACTGCATTTCTCACAAATAGGAAAATGGGTATTCCAGTTTTTCAAAATGAAGCTATTGAAGAGACAAGTTCGCTACTTCCCCCCCCCGCATGATTTCACCATGGAAATCTCAAGGGAACAGCCTATTAGGGAAGCACCATAAAGTTGCTCCATTTCTCTTTTGGTAAGGAAGACAGGTGAGAATAAGTCTTAATAGCCTTTAGAAAGTTAAAAGAAATTTCAAGGTATCTTCTAGTAATTTAGTTTTCTCCTTCAGCCAGATCTGAATATGCCAGATCATATGCTCCTGGAGCACGTGAATACATGTATCAAGGCAAATTTCACTTATCCCTAATAGAGCAAAAGGTAGAAAGACAGCTTGTATAACTAATCGATCAGTTGTCACCAAGTCTGTGGGATTATGGTATTAAAATAGCTTTATATATTTCACAGGTATTTAGAAAGCTAAACAGATTTAACACCTTTATAAACAAATACTTCAGAAGATGAATTTTACTGTAAAAAAAAAGGTAACCACCATCTCTGCAAAACTTTCAACCATTAGTAGCAGTATTATCTGTCACTGTAAAAGTGTAGTTCTGGAAAGCCAACTTTTTTTTTTTTAGAAAAATGTGGAGTACAAAAAGAACAGAAGACAAAGATATTTTAAATTTTTATCTGATAGTTTGAACAAGCAGAACTTCGCAAGAAAATAATTCTAAAGACTGAAAAATATATTAATTACAGGACTTGTTAATGTCTTTACTGTTACAAAAGTTGTCTAGGCTCTTATACAAATCTATAGCCAGAAGGGGACATTTATAAAAAAATAAATAGGCACCCTAGGTAAGTTAAAACAAGTTATCACATTTAGTTAGCAAATATTAGGTACATACATACATGGAGTGCAGAGTCAAATATAAAAACAAAGGTGCCTCGATTAGCTGTCTACTATAATTAAATACCTGGTAAACATGGTCACATAGAAAGTTGTCTGGTAAGATTGTTTCAAGCAAAGCAAGGAGACTGAAGTATGTCTAAATTACTGCAGCTACTTTAAAAAGTTTACCAGTTGTGCTTACTGGAAGCCAAATTCATTGGTATCAGTAATAGGCATTTGTATTGCTCATTGTACAGAAGTATGAACATTGCTATGCATGTTTAAAAATAAGTGTTCTAACATCATTCACAGTTGTTGCTGTGCTATGAATACATAAAAATACTGTCATTTCAAATATAAGATTTTTGCAAAACATTTTACAAATTATACATTATTTACAGATTCCAATAATCTTTGTTTTTTTACACAAGTATTAGAAGACAGTTTTATTTAACTGGCTATGTATATTATGTAACATTGCTCGATGAACTAGAAAAGTTTTAATTTACAGGTTCTGAAATATCTCTCAAAAATTTTACAACTAGAAATCTTCCAAGTTCTTATATTTTCAGGGTTCTTTTTCTGTATTCCACTGATTTTCTTACAAAAGGGTAATTTTTTTTTTACCAGCAGCCATACCTAAACATGCGTAATTATTTGCACTACAAATTCTAGAATTCATTTTTTTCCAAGTGCTACAATAAATTTTGATCAAGAAGGTAGAAATAAGAAGATTAATCTGAGATACCTGGTTTGTTGCATATATCATGTTCCCGTTCTACTGTAAGTTACATGTAGTTCAAAAAAACTGACCTTGACACAGAATAACCAAAACAACTGTTTAAATATACACCTTGCATAATCATGCCAAACATTTGGTTGAAGCACTAGAACTCACATAAGGTTTATAAACATAAAAAAGCCCTTCTCAGTAACAGTGCAAGTACGAGCAAGAGTGTTTATTATGCATATTTAACCTTCTTGCATTATTTTCATAACTAAAAGGCATTGATGTTTAGATGTAATCAGCAGCACCCCAAGTCAACACTAATACGAATAATGGCAAAATTTAGCCTTTTTGGGTTGCGTCAGGCTTTGCTGACATTAATTCTCAATTATACATTGTTCAATGTTACGATAAGACTGAAACAGAACTCCAAGCCCCTGCCTCTGACGCCACAAGACACAGTGGGTCATTTCAAACGCTCAGGGCTGCCACGAGGGCAAAATCCCATTCACCCTTCTTCTCTCCCCAGCCCCGGCTGGGCCACGTGCTGAGCCCCAGCACTCACTAGATATTTGGTTAGTTAAATCAGTGCACAGAACTAAAAGCCAAATAAATCCCCTCCTCTTTGTTACTGAAATAAAGTCAGGTTAACAAGAGACGTGGTAAATGCCAGAGCTGCCAAACTGCAGGGCAGAGCAAGAGAGGAACCTCTTCTTTTCACGCCCCCTCGGCTACCGCAGTCTGAACGGCTGCAGGTTCAGTCAGCCTGATCTGCTAATACAGAACGTATCCATGTGTAGGACTGCTCCAAATAGGAAAAAACGTTGTTAGTAAAATCAGATGTCTGATCCCCTTTAAACATTCTCAAAATATCAAGCTGAAAAAAGATAGGAAGTTCAATAAATAGCAGCATTGACTTTGCATGCAATTGTAGGATAAGTCAGGACTGAACATAAGTAGTAAATATATCTAAAACCTTACAAAATTAATCTTTCATAGTTGCATGATAACTCTGTACTTCAAAATTAGCATCCTATTCTGCTATATCGGTTTGTAGCTTATGTGGTTAAATTTAATTTTAATAAGTTAAAGTATATAGCTTATAGAGTGAACAAATCTGATAAATGTGTTTAAAAATGTACACTAACATAGAGCAGGTATATTAATAGGATAGTCTATTACTGCTTTTTACTTGAATTCCCTTTGAAAATCTTATTTAACACTTGCAAACCAGAACCATTTTTTAAGTATTATTATTATTAAGGCTTTTCAAATAAAAAGTTACAAGTTTACCCAGAGAATTTCTATTAAAGACACTTGAAGGTTTGTGAAAGTACAGACTCTCAGAAAAGTCGGTTGAAAAAAAAACATGCCACCTCCTGCTATCTATAAGGACAAATACACTGCTTTATTATAACTACACTTACCGCATTATATATGGTAATATGTTTATCCCTTTTGTTAGTCTAAGGATGTAGTGACCAGTCTGAAGGAACACTTTTTAAACTGCAACTAATTAAATCTTTGTACAAAATTAGTTAACATCTAGTCGACCCCACTGCTGTAAGATGCATAGACCCAGAGGGACCATTTTAAATATAAACTGTAGAAGACAAGCTGAGTAACAGAGGTAAGCATTAAGGCAACTAGAGTAACAAATCAAAGAACCAGAAGTTTAGCACCTCTACTCCTCTGTTCACCTCTATTTGTATATTCATTTAACCAGTCATAACTCCTAAGCGAAGTACAGTCAGCTGGGTACCTAGTTATCACACACACACACAGATTCAAGGTTTGTGCCCATTTACAGACCACATGAAAGGCAAAAGTCAGATCCAGATCTCTTTTTTAAGAATCTATCTGCTGCAGTGTATGCCTTCTACATTTGCCTCGTACCTCTGCTCAGATGCGGGATGCCTGGGCTCAAGAGCAGCATGGTATGTAGCACTCAGTTCTACTCCAGCTGATGGAGGATGCTTTTCTTTGTGGAAGCTTCCACTATCTGTAAAGTACAGCTTGGGTCTCTGATGATACTTCATCCTGTATGTGTCAGTCATACAACTATCTACTGAGAAGTAAGTTGTTAGGGATACACTATCATTTCCATCCACATAGCCAGCACTTGGTCCCGTATGACGAGATCCTTTCTTTAAAAAGTTTTCAGACACAGTCCAAGAGTCATTAGCTGATAAGCGAGGTGGAGAATCCGGTTTATGAACAAACAGTTCATTCCCTTGAAACGGCTCTTTAAGCCTTTGTTCATTTGTAAATACGCTTGCTTCTGATGCAGATTTTAAAGGTGTACCTGTTTGCCTTAACGGAGTATTTTGCAACACTTCTGTTGATTTTACATCAGCTGCCGAGTTATTTTCTGATCCTGGCAAAGTATTCAGAGCATATTTCTTCGGTGGTAAAGGGGGAGGAAGATTCTGGTACACTGCTTCAGGCACCCAAAGAGCATCCGTCCTTCGGAGTGGGTGCCCGGCATGCTCACCAGGAGGGGGAAGCACCATGGGCCTTTCCGACAGGTTCTGTGGCACGCAAGGCAACAACCCCACCTTGGGACCAAACGTTCTTGTGTGATGAGACTGCGGCTGGGAAGAGGAGTGAGAGTCATTGTTGATCAGCTTCCTTCCAGAGACATTTTCTGTATAGGGGTGGGATATGCCATCAGCACAATATACTGACACATTCATCTTCTCAAACTTGTCTGGATTAAGCCACTCTGAAGAATTCTGTTCGTTTGCCTTGTTCCTACTTTCTGACTTAACAATGTCTTTCAGAACTGGCTGTAGAGCTGATGATGGGAGAAGTTTCCTATTGGTCTCAGGCATTTCAGCTCTAAAGTACAAAAACACACAGGATGTAAGTATCCATAAAAACATAAGAAAAAGCTCAAATAACCCAAGGATTTTTTTCAAGACAGCCTTGGTAACACTGCTTAAATATTCAAACTGACTAGAGAATTGGGATCTGCTTAACATACAGCCATTTGATTAAAAGTTGTATTAAATCACTCCAAGGTTTCTTTCATTTGAAATGTAAATGATTTAAAACGATGTAAGCGATTTGGTTTCACTGACCGCATCAAAATTAAAATAAAGACATAGAGCATTTAGCCCTATCAATTATGTAAAATACAAAAGGCATTGTCTGTTAAAAATATTCAATACCTTAACTTTTGCATGCTTAATATTGACTACTATCACGTAACAGAATTCAGTATTTGTTAAACTATTACATAGTAAATTAATGCCAGTATTAGTTACCTCTTTACTGGAGGACTGGGCACCTGCAAATGTAATTCTGTTGGGAAGTTAACATGAGGTCTGTAGTTAACTTCTGAATTGATCTGGTCTTTCCTCAAGTCTGGGGGTAGAAAAAAAATATTTCAAAATAAGCAGAAATACAGTCCAATTCCTTCTTTGTAATTCCTCAGAGGTTACAAAACCAAACAACACACAACACAACAGGACAATTAAAGATTTGACACTGATCAAAATAACCATTTTGAAGACAATCTGTCACAGAAGGTCAGATCTTATAGTCATCCAAAATAATCTGGAGGAAATTTTTTTTTTTTTACGTTACCAGAAAATAGGCAATTACCACAATTTTGAAATGTTTTCAAGATCATCTTAACATTTCATCTAATTAAAAGCACATTTTCAAAAGCAGCTTATTATAAAAGCATGTTTATTCAAACATCCAAAGTAATTTAAATTACAAAATAAAAACTATTTATGATTTCTGAAGTTTCACAGCATGTAATAATAACTAAATGGAATGAATACTGTAAGGATTGGGGGGTGTTTTGGTTTTTTGTTGTTGTTTGTGTGTTTTGTTTGTTTGGTTTTTTTAAGAGAAACACATTATGCATTCTTTGAAACAGATTTAAAAACTTGCAGCAAACTGTACAGTTTGTAGAGATGCTGAGCAGACAGAGCACTCTGTCATGTGCCCTAAACACATAACATGAGGGTGCCTGGGCCAGCACTGCTACACTCACACTCTAGAAGCTCCTTTTATTCACAGGCAAAGGCAAAGAATAATTCTTTAAAAATGAACAATTTCTGAACAACACAGCTCCTAGTTAACAGTAAATAAAGGAAGCATTGAAGTATCCATGTCAACACCACATAGAATAAAACACTCTTGTGGCAAGTGACAAGCAACGGTCTATTTGTTTAGAGATAGATATTAGAAGCCTTCCTAATGCAATGATTGCCCCATTATAATCAGTCACCTGCTCTGAAGCCATTCAATGGAAGTCTTATTTTGTGTATGTATAGACTGGATTCATATAACTACTACGCCTATTTCAGTAAAACAGGAATTAAATTCAAAAAAGGTAGCATACATTGCCTGATTTCTGGTAGAATAATCTCGCATTCAGCAGACAGTACTAACTTTGACAATTTCCAATGGAATAACATAGGCTGTTCCATACTTTCATCAACAAAAGCTACAAAAATTTTCTATCTGTTCTTAAATGATGTAATCTTACCAAGATAAAATATTTTTGTATTCACTTGTTATTTTCCCAAGTTTAAATAACGTCTTGGAACTTTTGACTCATGAACATGAGAGTCAAAAACCCAACAACAAAAAAGAACCAAACTAAAAACTCTGGGTGATGCTGTGGGTGATACTTGTTTTGAGGGTCGGTATCTGCCCTATCTTTAATTGATGAAAGACTAAAGACACAATCTTTGACAAAGAGCACAGGTTGTAGAGGCTAAAACGGCACATAGCACAAGACCCATGTGGCTTTTCTTTGAGCCTCAAAATGGAAAAAAAACACTAATAAAAAAAATCTTGCTCTTCCAGCATGATAAATGATACCACAACCTCAGAAAGAATACTTATGGGAAAATATCGTTACTGAAAGAGCCCGTGCGACACTGGCCAGGGACAAGTAATTAACCTGAAAGAAAGTTCAAAACTGCTCCAGTGGGCCATGGCATCAGAGCTAACTAACACTGAGGTAATATTTCAAACAGAAAACATTTCATACTGCTACAGATTTTAATGAACTGTAAATTGCTTTACTGAAAAAAAAAAAGCACAGGCTCTGATACATTATTTCCTGTGAATATTTCCAATTCAGTATTTAATCTCAGTCCCAACGTCAGGACACAGTCCTAGGAATGAATTTGTTAGTTAATTTGCTAGATTAACAGTGTCTGAAGCTAGTGTTTTCAACTTTGAGACTTTGAATATATCGACTTTTATACAAGAGCACATCTACTTAAAAACCGCAACTAAATCACCCATACAACTGCTCTTTAATTCCCCAAACCGCCTGATGTAGAGATTACAGATTTAAAATTTTTTTATTTTAACTCCAAACCAAACTCCTAAGGAGTTTAGCACATCCAGCCCTTCCGAGAGGCAGCATCACAAATTGGTCAGGAGGCGGCAGCAAAGGTTAAGAAGCTGTTTCCTTGGTGCGACCACTGCACACATTCAGCCAAAGCTGCTTAGTGATACCAGGTGGTTTGTGCCTTCAGAATTCCAGCTAACTTAAAAATAGATGTGTTATTTTCTCTTCTGCTGACAGGATATCCATGCATGGTCAAAAGCAGACGCAGACTCAGTTGGGAATTTTGGCTCTAAGTTCTTTGCAAACCTAAATATGGGAGACACAAGCCCTGTGCTCAGCTGGAGACTGACATCCTTATCAATGGGTCATAAGCAGCTTACCAACAAATGAAATGTAACTGTTTTCTGACACACAAACCAGTCTGCTTTTCAGATTTATGAACATCTATTTTCACATCTGAATAGCCAATCCAGATTTTCAAAAGATTAACAGCCATTCTATAGCTAACAGGTAGGACAGACAAGTTCTCCTCTAATATCTCCATTTACACATACAGAACATTGGCAAAAATTTGCAAAGCCCAATTTCGGGGGGGGGCAACACCAAACAAAAAACCCCACATTAAATTAAATTTCCTTCTAATGCGTTTTAGCTGCCTGTTTCCTGTACTTTTGATTACCTGATTTATTTTTTAAGTTGCCAATAAAAAAAACCAAGGTGTAATACTTTTTGTAACAAGTACTGTGGCAAATTCCTCTCTCTGAACCCAGACATTTTTCTGCATTCAGTTGAAGTGACAGAGAACTTACTGGAAGCTTTGGAAATGTGGAACAACAACACAGGCCCAGTCAAGAAGGTAAATACATTGTAACTTGTCCAAAATAGAATATTATTTTTAAAAAACAGTGACCACCTTCAGAAAAAAAAATCCTTATATTCAAGAAACTGTCCTTTTGGAGCAACATTCAGTTGCAAAACATTCCTTATATATTCATTAGTGCATTTTTTTCCATGGCTTTAAACATCTGGAAAAAATGAAAATGAAGTTCCACTGTTGTTTTTTTTGTGGGGGTGGAGTGCATGTATGTGAGTTTAAATAAGTTCTGAAGTGAAGCAACAGTTGACAAAGAACACCAACTATTACCCTCCCTTCATTCTGACCTGCGAGTCTCAAGAAGTTTCAGGTCTTTGTTTCAAAACCCAATCCTGAATCTTTGCATCAACTATTTTAAATTGCAAACTTCTCACTTTAATAAAGTGAATCACAAATGTGAGAGTGCTTTACATGTCAGTCTTCATGGGCTGCTTGACTACATTTGGAAATCTTGAAAGTTTAGGGTTTGATTTGGGTTTGTTTTTGTTTTTTTTTTTTAAACCAAAATCTTTAATCTATCATTTAAAGACACTCCGGAAAAGCATTTATTTTTTTCTGTTTCACGTTAAGTAAATTAAGTAGCTGCACGCTTTAATTCACTACTCAGTTCTTCAAACACAACAGTCATATACATTGACTGCACCGTAAGGGTAACAACTGGATCTTCTTAAGTATAGTTGCATATTTTAAATTATTTCTATAAACATATGGTTTTACTAAGAAGATGAGTTTTCTTTTTCAGAATTATGGTTTGTTTGTGGGGTTTTCTGAAGTGACAAATAAACAAAGGCAATTTGGATTCTTCTTTACATACTCACCAGAGCTTCAGAATGATTCTAGATTTCGGTTGGAGTTGTCTCATGCTATTGAACTGAATAATTATTAATGTGAAAACCTCTGGATTTGTAATATTACAAACACTGCTTTGCATTTGTTTTCAAAGGGAAGCAATTATTAATTTAAGGCATTGATTCCAAGTACATCCTTTTTTGAGATCACTGAACAGGCAGCTTTTAATACTGCATCTTAAATAGGAGGCCATCAAGCACTTGGCCAATTTTAATCACAGTGCTTACTCTACTGACAGGTTAGTTCAAGAATCAAATGCTCTGAGCTTTGGAGGGGGGGTGGGAATCTACAAAACAGGGCTTCTAGGATTTAATTCATAGAATCATAGAATAGTTTGGGTTGGAAGGGACCTCTGAAGGTCACCTAGTCCAACCCCCCTGCTGTGGGCAGGGACATCTTCAACTAGATCAGGTTGCTCAGAGCCCCGTCCAACCTGACCTTGAATGTTTCCAGGGATGG